TATAATCTGACATAAGATCACACTTTTCCTAATAGAAGTAGTAGAAATCTTTGCATCAATATACATTAAGCAGATACATATTCAGTTAATATGAAAACAGTTAACTTTCCACGCACAGAATTGGCTACTTCTGTTAACTTTACTGTTAGCACCTTAATTAACAAAATAACCAAAACCACAACCACATTCATACCAGTATTACCATTAATCTGAAGAATAGTTCATCCACTTACCTTTGTATTATACTTGTTCTTGGTTTTCAATTTCTCAGTGAGTAAAGCTTCAACTTCTTCTTTGCTAAACTCAACTATCCCGCCGTCTGAACCTGCATTACTTGGCGGACCACTAGCGGGAGGCACATCTGCAACCTCATTCACCACTGCTAATGCCTGCCGGGTTCTTGCACCAGTAGCTGTGGACGGTATTTTTGGATTCCCTATTCTCCTTCTCTTCTCTAATGAAACCTCACCTGCTGTGTAGTTACTCTGCAAACCAAAAACAGTAAACTATCCAACATTAGGAACTTCTTCACTTAAACATCACAATAACCTAACCCACACAATCAAATTAGGAAATTTTGACCATGAACATCAAAACTAGAAACACCCAGTAGAGAAAATGAAACTCCACAGCAAAAAAAGCAAAAACATTGAAAGGTAGGATAACAAAATGAGTCCTAAAATGCACAGAAATGTGAAATTCGTCAATTTCAACTACACAATCAGAAGAAATGAGCATAATCAAAGTACAAACCGATGAGGATATATAGAGTAAAAATGAATTCTGGAGAAAACTTACATCAGAAGGGAGTGCTGAAAGAGTACGAAGTGGCGGCTTGTTCTGGTTCTTAGGAGCCATTTGAAATTATGGTAACAAAGAGAGAAAGGGGGAATGGGATGTCGGAGAAATTTATGGATGTGGGATCGTGAATTGAAACTCAAAACAACATTCTTCTACATCTACTACCGTTTGCTTTGAATTTTGCAGTAAAGGTGCTGAAAGATTGAAAAACGGCAATAAACAAAACTAATGTATGAAAGCAAACAAGGGCGAAAATGATTCAATTTCTCAGCCGTAATCGGCGGTGGATTTAGGATGAAACGACGGCGTAGTTGGAGGAGGAAGAAGGGGCGGAGGGGGAAGGGGATGCTCAAGAGTTCGAAATTTTTTGAAATAGAGATCTGGCGCTGCGGAGCGTTTAATTTACACACTACCAATTCTACCCCTAACACTATATTAACATAGGATTATGTTAAAAAGGAAAAATACTTATATGTATTATTAAAAATTTATATCATTTTCATTTGACAAAAAAGGCTCTTTTTTTATTAATTAAATAAAGTTTGATTTTAAAATATTATTTTGCACCTGTGGTCAATTATGGAGGTCATATCATAAATTATTTTTTTTTATATAAAAGGAAAAGACATAAATATGTTAGTGGTCTTTGAGATAAGGCTCATCTATGTCATCTATTTAAAATTTGGATCATCTATATTATTTAAGTTAACAAATAAATGATATGAATAAACTTTTCTCAAACGAAAATGTCATAGATTAGCCAAATTTTAAACTGATAATATAAATGAGCATTCATAGTCATGTGGTACATGCTCCAGGCATTGTTGTTTCATTGCATGTGATTGAGACTGTATGTGGTTTGATATTCTTGTTATATTTATTGTGTAATAGTACTATTTTGTGGTGAACTATTTATTTATATTATGTATTGATCGTGTGATCCTATTAGTATACTATTATTTGTATATTGACATTGAACTTGTTCTTTTTTTGATTGAGTATAAGACATCTTCTACTCTGTGACTTCAATTGAAGAATACTTGATTCTGAAAATTCAAGAGTAAGCTACATCTTTCAGACTTCTGTTGGTTCTTCCGCATCTTCTTGTCCATCTTTTTGGGCACAAACATTTAAACTTCAATTTTCATTTAGTTCCAGGATTGCATTCTAGTTTAATTGTTTAGAATTTTTTTATAATAACTTTCGATTCTTAAAGGATATTTCTACGTTGAATTTTTATAGATTATTGGATTGAGTTTATGGGGCCTCGTTTCATTAGTGACTAAATTTTTTTTTCCATATTTTATATGATAAACTTGGTTTTTACAATGACGTTGTGTTGGTTTCGATTTAGACTTTAATTCTCCAATCAGGTGGTTTAGTTTGAAGTCACTCACGACAGTCAAAATTGTGACAAATAACTCCTACTTTTATTGAATTTGCAATTATCATAACCTTAATTATCTTATAAAAAGAGTGTCAATTGTTCCAACCTTTTTCTTATTTTTTAATCTTTTCCCTCATCCCCCCCCCCCCCCCCAAACAAATTTCTCAATCTCATCCCCCACCCCACGGCAGTAGAATGCTACACAAATTTTTCAATTGCTCTTTCGAATATCACACTCAAATTTGAATGAAGTCAATCGACATCATAACTTACCTAAACATAAACACAAGTCATATGTACAAATAATAAGAAATCATATTTTGATTCTCAGATAATTTAACAAGATATCGTTCAGGTAATACTTTCTTTAAAAAACTATTATGATCCACATATTAGGTAATACATTATTTACCTTGTTTTCCATGTAAACAATATATACAACGTAAATAAATTTATTATGCATATTTGATAGTTTTTTATGGAAGAAAATGTTTTATTAAGAATTTCAAGGGTAATCATATTTTATGAAGAAGTTATTAGCATTAAAATAGTTTTCTACATCCTTAACAAATCTATACTTTATTCCTAAGTCTAGTCAACCAATTAAAAAAAAAAAAAAACCTAAAAATTTCCATAGAAATAAAAGACCTAGAAATTTCAATACAAATTTCACATTTTTTTCTATTTTTAAACATGGGCCAAGGTTATGTTTTTTTCCCTTAAATAAATTTTAAATTTGATCAATTAATTATTTAGAAGACATTGTCATGTAAATCATTGTATTAAAACAAATAGTTCATAACTCTCATTTAAATTTTATGAATTCTAGTGCACTAAACTACCTAACACAAGTAGTATCTGAACATGATTTAGGAAGTAATAATTTTGTTAATAAATAATAATTTCAACATTCATAAGAAAGATTGTTTGAAATTATTATATATGATTGGTTAGTCAGTAATGAATAATACTCATAAATATGCACAATTAGAAAATTTCTAGGTATACCTTTAAATTGGTATCCAATTCTGCCTGTAAGTGGTAATGCAAAGACCTTAAAAACCAAAATTTATGATAAGACAAAAGCTAAAACACAGTCACTGAGAATCATTGGCTTCGTAAATTTAGATAAGAGAGAGCAAACAGTGAGGATTCACAAGTACACATGAAAGCATCCATTCCTCAAGAACAGTACACATTCGGCAGCAGATGACTTCACTGAGTCTCAAAACATACAAGGCCTAACATTCTTCAAAACTCTACCAAATTTATTTATTTCCATACGAGCAAACAGATGGACCAAACATATTTGGAAGACCTATAAATTAGAATTCACCTTACAAGATAAGTTGAACACATATCGCCAAGCTTCCTCTTGTTCACATCCGCGAAACTGGGTCAGCAGCCCCAAAACAAGGGAGGGTCTGATTCTCAAGAGCTAAAACAAACTTCATTATCTAAAAAACAATAGAGTAAAACATTATGTAGCCAACTGATGTTAAAAAACAGTGATTATAATCATACATGCCTTGAGAGAACTATACAAGAGAAACATACTGGCAATGGCAAACATGTAAAACTAAATCTGATCAAAGAAACACACATTTATGAAGAAAACCAGATCAACCCTCTTCGTAAATAACACAGTCCGCAGAAAACAAACTCAGCAACTCCACACAAGATTGATAATGAAGAAACAAAAAGCACCTTACAAGTGTATGAAACTATAACAAGTATGTCATCTATTTTGAGATGTAACAGTTATTAAAATTTGTAACTGGCCTGAATCAATAAACCGTCCACTGAACTTCATAATATGGCCAAGACCAATACTACAAATCCTCGTGCTCAAACAAGACAAAAAAGCTAGTATCAGTTACAGCTCAATAATATGGCCAAGACCAATACAACAAATTTTCATGCTCAAACAAGACAAAGAACTAGTATCAGTTACAGCTCAAGCTTAGATGCAGTCATACACTAAACAATAAAGATAAACCAACATCCTTCAGGCTATGAGCAAACCACATAGATATGAGTATATTACTTACCACATTTACCAGCAACCATATGTACATCCCTTTTGCATGGGCAATTGTTGTTGATCAATCATCAGATAGTTCCATCTATTATTGTAAAGAGAGATTAAATAATAGATATGAAGATATGACTAAAATCCTATTACCAACTGGAGAGATGATTGAATGCACTTGTCTGAGAGGAAAATTAATATCAATGACAACAAATCCTTCACAGGGAATAATGATACAATATGCACTACTACACATTAAAGTATGTTCTAATAAAGGTTACTGAAATTTAGTGCAGCCTAAAAATGGTATCATAGAGAGAGCTAGTGATTAAGGTGGTAACAAAAGCTTGATATAAATAATCCACCTAATATGCCGAATTGGGTTCATAGCAAGGTACCAAAGACATATAATAACAATAAGAACTTAATACAAATCAAGATCAAACACCACTTCCCTGAATTGTTAATGTACACCAAGGGCACATTAATCCCCTAAATATCATAGGCCAATAATAAGCATAAAAAGCTTAGCATTTTAGCAAATATATACATCAGCAGCAAACAAGAAAAAGCTCAGACCTTCAAATACAATCATGTCCATGAGCAATGGTTTTTAACAACTCTTCATTTTGCCACATTCAGCACTAATGACAAACTTGGGGAGAAGGGGTGATATAAATCAAATACCATGCCCACTGACTATAGAAAACAAAATCAATTCATCATGATAACTAACATCAACTTCACAGCCATAAAATGCTTAAAAGGAAGAAAACTGCGAAGATAGAACTCATTGAGTTGATATTTCATTAAAAATGGAAACAAAGAGAGACAATTTAAGAACATAGTCTTCCATTCATCCCTTCATTTATATATACAGACTACCATAAAACCTAGAAGCTTCGACTAAACCAACAGAAAAACATAATTGATTTCACCTAATATCTATGGAATCTAAGACCCAGAAACACCAATTACTAAAAAACCAACTTTAACCCTCAACCCTAGAAACCTTCTCTTATCCTTCCACCTAATCTTCATCTGCAGAGGGCTTTGATGAGCCAGCTTTCTTAGGAAGCAAAAGGTTATGGATGTTGGGCATAACACCACCATTAGCAATGGTCACATCACCAAGCAGCTTGCTCAGCTCTTCATCGTTCCTCACAGCCAACTGAATATGCCTTGGGACTATCCTAGTCTTCTTGTTATCCCTAGCTGCATTTCCAGCTAATTCAAGCACCTAAAATACCAAAATTCACATACAAAATCAGAAACACTAGGCAAAAATACAAAACATAGAGAAAAAAATCAACTTTCTGATAAAAAAAACCATGGCTAATTACCAAATTAGAAACCCTAGAAATTGAAAAAACCAAAAACTGAAAGAATTTAACGAAGATAAACCAAAATTCACCTCAGCAGCAAGGTATTCGAGAACAGCTGCAAGGTACACGGGAGCTCCAGCACCAACACGCTCGGCATACTTGCCGGCTTTCAGAAAACGAGCAATACGACCGACCGGAAATTGAAGACCGGCTTTGCTACTCCGAGATTGAGCCTTCTTTGCTGCACCGGAACCAAGAGTCTTGCCTCTTCCTGCCATCGGAATCTCTGTATAACACACAAAAAATATGAATAGGACTTATGCTGTATAGAGAGAAACGGTGAGTGATATTGATTCATCGGAGTTGGTGTTTATATAGTACTCAGGATTTGTAAATGAACCAATGAAAAAAAAGCACAAGGATCGTGATTTTAAGCCGTTTGATCAGAAAAAAGATTTAACGGTGAGATTAGTAAGCTGACGAGTTTTACCGCTTTAGGGATTGATGATGAGTTTAGAGTATGACACGGGTAGGAACAACTGGCAATTTTAGAGGAAGTTTTTTAATTGCACAAATATACCCCTAAAGTTTTTAGAGATCGCAAATATATATCCCTAATGTATTTCGAGTTGGTGAATACATCCTTGATGTTTCTTGAGTTTTTTTTTTAATTTTAATTTTTCACATATCGTATTTGAAATCACAAAATTAAAAGATAATATATGAAATTTTATACCTTAAATTTTAATAATTTATTCAAAGTTTGTAGAAATCATATTACACTTTTGAATCATTTTCAATCAAAATAAATACATTTTTTTTTAGATATTCTCATACCAACTTTCTTTTTTCTGCATGCAGTCGTGTATCTCACACAATAAAATAATATAAGTATTTAGAATTACAAGTTTTTGTACCTGCAAGGATCTGACTCTGACAGCACCTATCAAAATTCCTCCTAATTGTAGATACATCTTCCAACATTTCAATGGTTCTACCTAGGCTATGAAATTAATTTACTACACAAAAGTAGCAACTAATTTGTTGATTGCATTTATCATCTTAGGGCTTTCTTTAATGTTTATGTGACGAGTTAAAGGAAGTTACCAACAAAAGTTCTGATGAAATGGTAAGTATTTATTATTTTTAATCAAGACGTCTTTATTAGGAAGCGCTTTGCCCTTCAACGTGAAACTTTCAGACCGAATTCTAAGTTAAAAGTGTGACTCTTATTTAAATATCGGTAAAGAAATAGTGTCCATTACAAAATTAAGAAACTGTTGAATCTTAATGCTTTCGTCTTTCCCAAGACATCGAACGATGTAAGGGCAACTTTTTAATTGGCTCAAACCTTTTCCTTTTTCACAATATTCATCAGTGTCAACTCGTGCAGATTTAACAATGCTATAAATTCATTATCTCTTGAGCTTTCAACAAATTGTCCAGGAGGAGGTGTTAAAGTTGACGTCTCTTCATGATTACATCTTTCACTGCATTGATTGTGATGTCGAGCATAGGGACAATAGCCAAATGAGGAGGTATATAACAATACAATGTTTCAAACGGAGTGCATTGAATACCATTGTGAAAGTTTGTATTGTACAATCATACGGAAAGAGGCAACCACTGGCTCCACTAAGTTGTTATATGAGAGGTCATGCATCTAAGGTAGTTTTTGATGCACTTATTAACTCTCTCAGATTGTCCATCAGTTTGAAGGTAATGTGCAATGATGTAGTGCAACTGAGTTCCCAATAATCTAAATATATTTTGCTAGAAATTGCTCAAAAATATATTGTCCTTGTCGGACACAATGGACACAGACAACCCATGGGGCGTATATACATGCTTAAAGAATTTGGTTGCTACTGTGCTAGCTGTATAAGGGTGGAATAAGGCCATAAAGTGAGCAAACTTGGTCCTCTATCCACCACCACTAAAATAACTTCTTTGCCTTTAGACTTAGGCAATCCTTCTATAAAATCATGCTTACATGCCTTCATGCTTTATCAGGAATGGAAAAGGTTGTAATAACCATGGATAAGGCACATTCTCATCTTTACTTCATTGACACACATCACAAGCCTCCACATGTTGTATTACCATTTGTCTCATTCCAGGCCAATTAAACACTTGTGCTAATCTTTTATAGGTATCCGACTGTCCAGAATGACCACCATCAGGTGAGTCATGAAAGGTGGTGATCAGTTGGTATCTTAAACCACCATTGCTATCCACATAAACCTTGCACTTTCTTCTTAAAATACTGGAAGAATAATGGAATAAATGAGGATTCAAGTGAGCCATGGGAACTTAGATATTAGTACAATGACTTTAACATCTTTATAGCTTTTATGAATTTCTTGCACCCAAGTAGGCACCATAACACTAATAGATGACACGCCATCTAAGGCATGAAGCATGTTGCGTTCCTTATCCTCAAACTGCCTAGATAATGCATCTGTCACCTTGTTCTCAACATTTTTTTTGTACTACACCTCATAATCTAGACCCAACAGTTTAGTTAGACCCTTTTATTGCACATCAAATGTAACTTTTTTCTCCAGGAGATACTTTAGGCTGTGATGTTCGGTTTTGATCACGAAGTGCTTATATTGAAGATAGTGACTTCATTTGTCTACAACATTAAGAAGTATTATGTATTCCTTCACATATATAGATGAATTTTCCATTTATTTTTAGGAGCCAAAACTTTACTGAAGTAAGCTATGGGTCTATTACCTTGCGTAAGAACAACACCAATTCTAGTTAAGCTTGCATCAGTCTCAACAATAAACTCTTTAGTATAATCAGGTAAAGCCAAGACATGAGCAGTGGGCATGGCATGTTTCCAAGCTATAAAGGCTTGATCATCCTTATCATTCCACCTAAAAGTATCCTTAATCAGTCAGTGGCTTGCAAATAATGTCATAATTGCGGACATATTTTCTATAATAGCTCGTAAGCCCAAAATACCTCTAAGTGCTCGCAAGGTGGTAGGAGTAGGCCACTCACTCATAGACTGGACCTTGCTTGGATCGGTAGACACCCCTTCAGATGTAATGATATGGCCTAGATACTTCACTTGTGATTGACCAAGAGCATTTATATCTCTTTGCATACACTGATTGTTTTCTAATCATTTCAAACACAACCTTTAGGTGAACTACATGATCTGCACGGAACCTACTATACACTAGTATATCATCAAAAAACACCAAGACAAACTTCCTGAGTTGGGGAAGAAATACCTGATTCATCAGTGCTTGGAAGGTTGTAGGAGCATTGGTGAGCCTAAAGGGCATTACCTTAAGCTCATAATGACCCACATGGGTCCTAAATGCAGTTTTGAACACATCTTCAGGCTTCATCTTGATCTGATGGTATCCAGCTTGTAAATTCACCTTTGAAAAAATCACAGACCCTTGTAATTCATCCAATAGTCATTCGCTACTGGTATAGGGTACTTATCTGTAATACAATACAATCCATGACATTGATACAATTTAGTAGGAGCTCTAAGGTATCCTAAATTCCATGTTGAGTGGCCGTCAAAGTTTGTTGTCCATTCTGGAGTTCGATCATCAGTTCATCATGATGGGCTAACTTCTCGTCCATCCTTCACATTCGAGTGCCTTTAGCCATAAGTGACTAACGACAGTTGTGAAGCAGTCACTCTGATACCAATGTTATGTATTTAATTCGAAATTCAATAAAATAGTAACTAAACTAAAACATAAGCTAATTTAGAGAATCGAAAAAGAACTAAATAAAGATAGCAAGATGAAGTTTCTTGATCTTAATCTGAAACGAAAGAACAAAGTTGAAAAGAAGAGAAAAGAGGCAAGGAGAAGTTGAGAATTGTAGGATACTAGTTTGTTTTCACCTCTCCACTCTTTCCCTCAACGTCAACGTGTATATGATAACCTCTCGATTAATCTCAACGTTAAATTTCATTTAGCTACTTTTAATCCAAACCCTTTATTATTTGCAATTCACTCATTCCAGCATCTCCTATATTAACTAATACTCCTTCCTGTGCAATTGTCTATTGGAAAGTTAGCTGAAGTTGTTACAGACAGCTACAACTTCTAAATAATTGTTGGCGGAAAAATGTTTTCGTTTCCAAACTGAGAAAGCTGATTCCTTTTGCCTGATTTGAATCCTAATTTGCAACAGAAAGGGCTAAAATGGCTCTGTATCCATTGCCCACCGCCATTATACTCAACAGAATCACCCCTTTTACTTCCCGCTTCTTCCCCAAACCTCTATCTTCTTCCCTTTCCGCCTCCGTCGCCGCCATTACCTCGACCTTACCACAACACCTTTCCTATGGACCTTCCCTCCACAAAGGCCACAAAACTTCACACCGAAACTCCGATGAAGAAAGCTTCACTAGAGTCTTCGATATCACTGCTTTACGAGTCCCTGCAGAACAATGTTTCTCACTCGAGAGCAGATTACGCGGACACCTTTTAAATTGGCCGCGCATTCGTAACATTGCTAGGGTTGCCGGTGATGATATTGATGACGACTTGAAGGAGTTTATTGGAAATGATAATACTACTGATGATGAAACACAAACAGTATTGGAACGGAGAATCTATGGGAAAGGTGAAGGTGATGGGGAGAAAATGTGTTCGGTATTGTATAGAGATAAGCTTGCAAAGACTTTCAATTCGATAGGATATGTAAAGTTTGAGAATTTGGCTAAAATATCGCGGCCGAAGAAGAAAAAATGGAAGAGAGAGGAAAAAGAGGGAAATGGAAGGAAGAGGAGAGGGTATGGGAGAAGTGATATGTCAATGGTGGAGGTGGTTGAAGAAGAGGGGAGTGGAGATGAGGATTTCAGTGGCTTATTGGGTGATGATTTTAGAAGGAGAAAATGGAATGGATCCACGAGGTTATTGCTATTGGATGAGAGGTACGCGAACAAGGGGATAGAGGAAATGCCCGAGGCTATTAAGGTTTCTGTTTTGTTTTAGAACTATGGTACTTTGTAAGTTGTGCATATGCTTTGAGTTTCATGAGTAATGTCTTGTTAACACTTGGAATTGAAATATGGTGTTTTTTTGCTTTTCGTTCTACCTGCAATTATTCCCCTATCCGAGTGCTGACTGCTGAGCCCCTTCAGCTTTTGGTTATACTACAGAAGTTGCGCAGCAGTATATGTATGATAAATTCATGTCATAAGTTTGATTCTAGCTGGTTAACCAAGTCTGGTATTTAGGTAGAGAAAGGATAGGAGTGGCAGGCCAATTACAAAAAAAAAAAAATCTTGTTTGGTTGTAGTTTATTGACAAGCACCTGTTTCTTTCATGGCTGCAAATTATGAAGTATGTTATGAAATTTG